CTTTCTTCTTCTTGTACACCAAGTTCTTTCCATCCGTCCGAATACCTACGAATGCACATAGGCATATGCATGTAATGCCTAAGAACAATATCCACTCATTTGCATCTCCGTGGCTGGTGGTGGACTGGATATGATGCTACGTGGAATTTATGCTATGTTGTAGAGGTTGAAATCTTTATGGATTGGAACATTTTGGCACGGTTCTATATGCACACATCTCCTTCGTTCCGTATTATGTGCATATATTTTATTCTGGTATTTTTGACCTTCTTTTGATGATATTTAAATTCTGGCATCGTCTCGAGCCATTTGTTGTCTTGCGTAAGTCGCGCGAGTTCAGTTGACACAATTATTATTTGGCTACGAAATTTTCTTGCAAAATTCCATTTTAAGCCCTGTAAAAAGAAGAGAAATAATCCTGATGAGATAAGATTTTTTGTCATCGAGCAATCCGAAAATAGGGCATCCTTGTGGGTCGTGTCGTACATGGATATGTCTACATATTCTGATTTAGAAAACCGTGCTCACCTGCCCGACAATACATGACCATTATTAACCATGTAGAAAAAGTTTGTATGCACATATACCATAAGCTCTAGAAAATCTCATCATTTATTTTAGAGCTAGCTCGTAGCTTCGTGTGTTGTCCATGGAGCACTGCAAGTCAGGATGAGACCGATCGGGTATGGCAAAAGGGAAAGCTCGTAGAGAGCAGCTCCTCGCTAACACCACACTCTCGCAATAAAGTATTCCCACCCCAAGGACCCCGACCGACAGGCCGACTGGGTTGACCTTTCAACTTTCCAGTACAAAATATGACAGGTGGCTCGGATTGCTGGAGAGAGAGGATGGTATTACTCACAAAGTGATTTGTTCCGTCATTACATGTGGAAGGGAGCCCAGGATATATTTATATTGCAGATGTAGGTATATAGGATGAGGTTGTTAGTGTTTGTTACTTTTTGTCGGATTTGCTAACGTCATCGTGGAGTTGCGAGTCTTGCTATCCTTTCATCCGCTGCTCGTTTGCCATCTTATCGCCATCCCTCCTTGTAAAGTAGGACGGTAAAGTGCAAAGTGAAGACAGAGCGGCATAAGCGGATGGGCGAGAGCACCCAAGAGGGATTTCTCTACTTTCTCCATCTCCTTCTTCTTCTTATTACTCGCTCTTATTCCATTTTACGCTCATCTCTCTCCCTCTCTGTAGCTCTTTCGTCCACTCGCTGCCCATGTATGCACAGGAGCAACAGCCAAATCCTCTTATTTCTATTCAGACCAGAGCTGGGATAAGCAAACACTTTTACACTCGTGGTGGTTCCGAAACCAATGTTGCTTTCTCTGAGAGGTCTCCATGGCTTGCATACATATTATTTGCCACATTCATCCCGACCTTTTGTTCCATTGTATGGGGAGGCATGTGAGAGAGGATCATACATCATAGGAAAACAGAGGCTCCACGAGAGAGGAAAAGAGAATACTCAATGAGGACGGTTGGTTGGTGATGGGAAAAGCAGCTTGGTTGGGCTGCTTAATGTTGTACCCTTGTAAAGTTTTTGGGTGAAAGTTGGGGCTGGATGATGTTGAAGTGAACGTGGAATGGCTAAAGCAGCAAGCGATCGATTTTTGGCCACCGGACCGGACCCATTGCTGCAGTGCTCCACTCTCTGCTACATGTGCCGAGTTTGAATGTGGAACAGCAGAGTGAGAGGGAGGAAAGTGAAAGCAAAGGCGGAGGAGCTATATACGTTTGCCTGGTCCTCGATGGCAGGCGGGCAGGAGGAGTAAGTGTGGTGAGAATTCGCTTAATTCCACCAGAAAGGACGGGGAAATATATTGCAGACTTTCTCTCGAGTCGAAATAACACAAGAGTTTGGTGAAGTATAGGATTCTTACGTATAATGCACAGTAGTCTTCATACATACATACGTACAATGCCGTCATTGGGTTGAATCATTTATAGTTTCTCCTTGCCCTTTCTTCCCCTCAGCTATGGCATGATGCTATTTATGGAGGAATATTATCGAGTGCGGAATATTGGATTCTGATGCATATTTTTGTCTGTCTCCACATAAAAGTGGTGGGGAAAGTAGGGCATTGCAAATAAAAGCGAGGAGATTCTGCACACAATCTTCACTTTTACGACTGCATCATACATACGTACGTATGACATTCACGTGAGTGGAGCCACGGAATTTTAGTTGGAAGCTTTGTTTCTATTATGCATGCATGATGCCATCCTGAGGGTGACATGGCACCAATTTACTCTAGCGTGGTGACGTGGTTGGCATATATTTTGCCATCCTCGTGAGAATATAAATTGACAAAAGCAAATTGTTGTTGTCTAACAATGTGCTGGTGTGTTGCGGTTGAGGCTGGAGAAAGTCTCTCCTCTCACACATCTCGTGTCGTTAATCTCACTCTGTCCAACAAATGGACTCATCTCATGTTGCCAGAGATTAATCCAAGAACAGAAGAGACACGAGAGCTATAATTAATGTCTGCTGATGTCTCTCGGTTTGTTGGTTGGAGAGTTGACTACGCTTCCCTTTCTGCTTGTCTGCCTGGGCATTTAATTGCAAATAGGATAGGATCGAAGGCTGTTTGGGTAAATGTCAAAACTCTTGAGTTGAGTTGAGGAGTGTAATTGAGGAAGCAACCCACTAATTTATGACGCATGAGACTGATTGACCATTTGGGAGTTTCGACTGGCTTCCTTTTGAAAATATCAGTATATCAACACACTCGTTCCATTCAGGCAAGGTTCACCTCGCTCTGTTTGCCGTGATCAAAGAGTGCTGTCCGAAATGACAACGTAGCAAATGTCCCCTCACATTATGACATTATGATTGGCCACTGGGTGAAACAGATTCCATGGCTATTCCGGAGAAAGTCGTGTTCGACTTTTCCTGATTGTTCATTCCTTCTCCTCCGAGCTGAAATGACCAGAAATTGGATATGACCAGCGTCCTGTGTGTGGTTTTGTGGAGAATATGATGATGATGTCGATTTGTTGAAAATTTGCCAACTTTTTGTATCAAAAGTTTGTCATGATCCTTCGTGCGTTCTATATTCCTACTTTTTTGTTCCATATCTTCTCAGCTCGTGTATCTTATTGATCTATAATATAAGAGAGAACTAACTTTTATACACATTTATCTTTTTAGCTCTTCACGGTTGACTTTTTTTCTTGGGAAAGGAGACTTTTTCTCCATCTTATCCTTTTGTTTGCTTTCACTTGAGTTGTGTGACTACAGCCTTACTTTCTTTCCATTGTTCTATCTTCACAGGCAAGTGGTTGAAGGAAGGAGATTGCACTTGTTCCTCGGTGAAAGTTGGTTGGGTGGGATGCTTTCACTCACTCCAAGTCTGACATGAACAAATGACACTAAATGTTGAGTTTATTTACTTCACTAATGCATTCACGAGAGCTTGTCTACTGAATTGTGCTCTTTTTTGTAATTTAAATATAACATTATACAGTTGGAATTGTTGGCTATTGGCACTATACTCAGTTTACTGACTCTTAAAATAAATTTCGCGAATGTGTGAAAATAAATAAACAGTGCAAAATTTGGCTAATACACGACTCGTGCTATTTACATACAGGGCTCTTTTATGTATACATCGCTGTGTTTGAGCTTTCAAAAATTAAATTGGACCACTGCCATGAACATTTTTCATGTGTCCAAATTCCAATGTAGCAATATGCTATTCAAAGAATTAAGAAAAAAGTTGTGTGGGAAGCAGAACATGAAGCAACAGAAATTATTTAATTAATCAAGTATCAGAAATAGTAACAATAAGTAGACAATCCATGGGAGGACAATAATTGCTATCCAATCCACAAAGTGCTAACTGTACCTAAAAACATTTGGCACACACTGTCGATTTTTTTGGTATCTGCAGCAGGCAGAAGGTTCATTGAAACCGATCAGATTTTTGTTTACTGTTTACTGCATTAATTGTTGTTGTAACCGTTTTTCTTCATCATGTTGTTTTGGTAGGCAATGATGCATTTCATAAGATTTCACTTTATTGGAAAAAAAAGGAGCAGATTCATTCAGAGGTCAAACTTTACCGATCAGATCATCATCATCTTTATCACGTTAAGATGCCATTGTACACACACTGTATCGCGAAAGAAAGAATGAACATTTTTTCCTGTGTGCTTTTCCCCGAGGGCATGAATTACGAAGCACCTTTTGTAGCACAGCAGCAGCGGAACTTATATGACAAAGCCAGCCAGTAGAACCACGACTCTTTTGGGGGAGATAGACATTCAAAGTACGTGTAAAGTCAAAACCCGTGTAGTAATGAACACACACACATGCATACCTTTCCCGTGTAGTCTGAGCCGGGCTGAATAGTCATCACATGCAAGCATGTCATCGTCATCATGATCATGATTTTCATGATGATTATGTATCCTTCCCGTTCGTTCGAATCCAAGACTTGGTTTTCCACTCCACTCCACCTACCTGTGCAGCAATAATAAGCATGGTTCTTGTACCCTGTTGTGCTTTTCCTTCTTCTACCTGGCTCTCTCAGATCAACGCTTACATGACGTGGTTGCATGTAAAGTATTGTAAAGAACCCTCTTTGGCTCCGAGCACCTATTCCTCCTCCGTTAAACTTGAGCAAAACGCTCCACAAGGTATTACGTGGAGCCGTATCCCAAGTACAAATAATAATATGAATTCGAAACGAGAACGAGAGAGCCAATGTTTTGCCACGTAACAATGAATGCTTATACAATTCCTATAAGTTGTTGGTGGGGTCTTTGTGGATACAAATGCACGCCTCAATAACGAACTTTAAGAACTAACCACTGCCAACGAAGCATTCAGGTAGGGTTAAAGCACTTGAAATTGTTACTGCTGCCAGCTACAACTTTCGGCCCTCCTCGTTGCCTTATAGAGCAGTGGCAGCAGGGATGAGAGATGATGTGAATTCACATTCAGGGGATTTTATTTAATACATGCTACGTGTACACTCACTTTACTAGTGCTGAAGGAGAGAGAAAGGGTTACTCATAACTGAAGGAGCAGTTGCCTTACATGCTGAGGGAAGAGAGACTTGAAAGTTGCTGCTGCTGTAGTGGAATTTTTTGGATTCTTTCTGTAAACGCTCCATCCAACTACTTCAAGCTGATTCCTCTCCTTGCGAGTGCAGTTGCTAGCACTGCGAAAAATAGTTTCACAAAGAAATGAAATAGTTTTACAGTTGATTTGTAAAAGGTGGTTTCGTGATCACAGTTCTCTATATAAATATGTGACAAGTTAAAGTAACTGAATCGTCATCTGTTATACGGTGGTGAAAAGTTTATTAACAGAGTTATTGCGTGGGTTCACTCACAGGAAGAGACTGACATAAAAATTGTCTTTACTGGAAATTGGACTCTGAATTAGCAAGTTGGGGCTATAAACACTTATCGTGAAGGCCAAAACCAAGATCCAGTTTCAAACTGCATGGGATTCTTCCATATTATAAGCATCATGTTTTTATAACTTTGCTCGGTGGAGCGGGTGAGGACAAGGATGTAAATGACGAAATTATGGTTTTGTGTTATTTGTCAAGTGTCATAAACCTCATGGACACTTATTCGCACTGCTGAGACTATAACGCTCGTCACGCTGTACTACATGCAAACCCCTCTCTAATCTCCTACGCAATAATAGTATAGTGATTTTTAGTTCAACATGGTCATCATGTGTAATTTTGTAAACCAAGTCAAGACAAGTAGAGGACCTATGCATATGTAACTGTTGTATATATGACTAATAAGGTCATGTATTGTTCAATTTGCAATTATCATTGGGTTTGTGGTTCTCCATGATGATGATAAGTCGTCGGGACTGATAAGATAAGATGAAAACCATCCGTTGAATGCAACACTGCTTGTTCTCTGCTGATCTGTGTTTGCTCTGTGTGGACATAATTGGGCAGGGTATAAATTGGCTTTTGGAGTGTTTATCGAAATTGGACTTTGCGAGGCCGGCTGATTTTTGTGTTACCAACGCTGCTCGAGTAGTCGAGTCAAGTCAGTTACTTAAATGTGATCACATCATCATCATTGCAATTGTAACAATCGAACGGAAAGTGCTGCTGTATTATTACCTTCATGGATTGACTCACTCTGTCAGTCGAGTGCCATTCCCCGTGCAATTCACTCTTCACGCCATAATAATATCTTATTTCTGGTTACTATATTACAACGTTGGACAAGATACAATCGATGGGAATCGTTGGTTACCACCACTCTTTTGTTCTGTTCTCTGACTTCGATGCTGTCAGCTCTCTGATTTGGAATAATAGTAAACTTTTTGAGAGAATTGTGTGAGACCAATAGCAAGTTAAACTGAAACTCCTCTCTCGTCTCTCTGCGCTGGGGTGTATCCTAAAGTGGATCGAATTGCTAATTTCATCCACCACGAGACATTCTATGCAGTAATACATGGCCCTCACTCGAAAAAATATTAAATTGCGGAAAAGGGAAGCTGCTGCAGCAGTGTTGTAATGTAACCAGCAAAGTGAATCGGACTTGGAGTCAAAATTGCAACAAGCACTATCTGTACACTGCCTCGTCCAATTTTGCCATTACTACAGAGTAAAACTGCAAATATCACAACAAGAAAAGAGTTTTAAGGAGTTTGCTTAATCCAATGCAGCCAGTTTGTGCTGTTTTTGGTGCTGCTGATGATGATGACGGTGTGCGGTAGAGCTGAATTATGATAATACGGCGGAATGAACAGCGAGCAGCAGTATAGCGTTGTTAAAAGAAAACAGTTAAGTTTAGTTGGTTGGTCTCAACTAGTGAGTGGTTTGGTGGTAGCAGTACTTACTTGGTCGTCGTCGTCAGTAAATAACAGCCAGAATGGTGGTCTGGTTGTAGTAATATTGAATTGGTGACCCAATTCACCATCTTGCAGCTCACGAAACTTTTCACTCACAAATAAATTGTGATAAATAAATATGCTACAGCAGTGTAGTTAAATACAGGCTTATAAAAATTTTTTTATCGCAAAGAGGGAAATTAGGAAACTGAATTTGGTGAAAGTAGGAGGAGGAATAGTGTGGTGGGAGTGAGTGAATGAGTAAAGTGCTCCTACGAAAAAAAGTTGGTGAAAGTGCTGGGAGCATAAATAAAGTGGGAGAGCCAGGAGTGAAAGAAAAATTCCTCCCACGATGGCCTTACAGTCCGCGGCTGGAGGAATGTGGGTGGACCACCATCCGCCACCGCCAAAATCCCCTCCCTCTTCCTCTTATAGCCCTTCACCCGTCACATTCCGTCCTCCTCCCCCCGTCACCACGACCTTCACACCCAGTCCCAAATCTTGGGTAAGTTCATCTCGAGGAGGTTGACATATGCACATGTACATCCAAATTCCAACTGCTCATGCTGTGACAGTTTCCAAATGTTTTACATGTTGGTATTGTTGAAAATAATATTACGTAATAATGTAGTTTATTGAAAGATTTATTTTATGTGGTGGTAGTAGCGGTAAAATAAGTATTCGGACAAATCGCCGTTTGCGTCTTTTGTACTTTGTACTTACTGCGGTTGTTTGTGAAGATAGTTTGAGACCCATGGAATTAGTTAGACTATCCTATAGATACCTTCCTTTCTGGTTGTGGTGCCTGGAAAAGAGATGCAGAGGAGCAAAATCATGTTGCGAAATAAATTGCAAAACTTTTGTTCAAAAAGTAAAGTTCTCAGATCGCGACTCACTATAAAGAAGGAAGATGGTCAATGGTGGTGACCAACTTTTCTTTTAGAAAAAATTAATGTGAAGGGAAAGAGAACAATTGAGGAACTAATAAAGTTCACCCTATAGTCCTTAGTGATGCACTAATCTAGGGTGCACCTGGCGGAAAATTTTCACGAGTCGTGGTTGTTGATTATCACAGTGTATGCATGTTTATACGTTTATGTATGTGCAATTTTTTCAACTTTATAAATTTATTTTGTTCAAACACATTTATAAAATCAATTTAATAAATGCTCCAAGCGGGTGTTTTCGGTCAGAAACACGTACAAATTTCACATTAGCAGCGTTGCAATTATCTCAATGAAGGCAGGATGACATCATACTAATTTAAGTATGTAAAAGTCTTGCACAAGAGATTAATCCTTAGTTTAAGCTCAAGAGTCAAATTTCATACTTTCGTTTATAGATAATGGTTTAGCTGTCGTGTGTGATCTCATCAATCCCTCCTAGTCACACACCATTCTTTGCGAATAGTGGGTAAGAGATGAATGTTGGTCGACGATGCAACCTAATCAATTGGATATTGATGATGCTTTCCTTCGTGCACCTGTGCGAGTGAGATGAATCTGGGTTCACTCTAATTTCGTGGAATAGGAACAAAATGTCGCTATTAAAGTAGAACCAACCAATATAATTGTAGTAAGTGAGAGAGATTCGAAGCATGACGTGACTCAGTCTATTCTTTTTTGTGCTTTTGGGGAATAGCTTTTTACGTTTGCTGAATAAACCACTTGACTGACTTTGCTTTTGAGCTAGATAAACCTCACCATGTACCACCACCACCATCGTGATCATTGTTGAGAGAGGAGATAAGATGTCGATGTCAGGAGCAGGTTGATAATGGGAGTTTAAATTATTTGTATGCTTGGCACTTGGCAGACAGAGTGTCGTCGTCGTCGTCGTTTTTAAAAAAAAGAGTAGGAATTCTTTCGCTGATTTAAGTTTGGGGTTTAAATGCAGATATGTATGTACAGCATCTGTATAAAGTATTCGTGATCTCTCAATGACAGCTTTCAACACTTGTAGATTTGCAGTCTGTAATCTGTATTGCAATTTGCTTGCGTTCCACGTTGAATGGTGTATAGAATCTGAAATTTGCTACACGGCACAGAAGTTGAGAATTCTGATTATAGAGAGGACGAAGCAAATACGAATAGAAGAAATAATGGCTTCGGGTGTTTTGTTCCTTTTTTCAGCTGCAAATTTGCTGAGACTTTGGCATTCGTATCTATGAACCGTACTTGTGAAAAGATATTACTGCAACGGCAATATTTTGTGGTAATCTTTGTGTGCTCATTTTAACCTCAATGATGCCATATGTAATACTTTTTTCACCTGGGAAATAATTCACATATTTTAAATGCCCCATTTATGTATTTCTCCTAATTTTTAATGCTGATGAATGATATCAATATATAGTCTGATTAAAAACAATAATTGTAATCTAATTTGTTATCTATTTTTTGACAGGCTGGAGGAGATGGAGTTTTGAGTTCCTCAACGACGCGTGAAGTCAGTCAGAGGTTATCATCTTCCAGAAGTCGTACCTCGGAAGAGCCTCACATTGGCAAATATCGCCTCCTCAAAACAATTGGCAAAGGCAATTTTGCAAAAGTCAAGTTGGCAAAGCACCTTCCCACCGGCAAAGAGGTAAATTTAGCTATTAATTAAAATTGTCTTGGGTCCCCAATCTTAAAAAATCGATACGTTTGATGGCAAATGAGACATTGTGTATAATAGACACAGTCATTCATACATACATAATAATCACATGCTTCTTATTCTTGCGTCATAGGTAAAAAATCGATACAAGTAATTGCATGGGAAATTTATCTTTTGTTTATTAGTGAGTGAGGTAGGAACAGTAGGAAGTGAGAATGTGAGTAAAGGTTCTGTTCTACATATCCACCAACCGAGCAACGAACCACCACAACTTGTTTTATTTAACACTGCTATTGCCAACTACTACGACTATGATAAGGTTATTGTTGTCTTGCTAAATTGACTTTTGGGTTTGTTCATATAATGAATGTTCCCATCGTGTAATGGTATGGTTGGCGATTCGGTTGTGGTATTCGTTCCACCGTACGTAACATTTTGCAGATGAAGAAGAAGTTAATAGAGCTAGGTCAGTCACCTGTCTCATTCTGGTTTGGTCTATAGCATATACGACTGAGTGTCTGTATTTTGGTGGCTTGGAGTTTTTTTCTTATTACTAATATTACCCGAAACAACTTTCTAGCTACAGTTGCTGAATACACTGTTTCATTCGTCTTGAACAAATGATAATGATTCCGCAATCACCAAGTGTATCTTAATTAATATGTATGTATTATTATTATTATTATGATTACACTGTTCCTGATTCGAAATTGGCCATAACGATGATGAGTCATGCAGATACATTCCGTTTTCCGTCGAGTGTAGCTAATTTATTGTCTGTTGATTCATTTTCAGGTGGCAATTAAGATAATCGATAAAACTCAATTAAATCCGGGTAGTTTACAAAAGCTGTTTCGTGAAGTTAGGATAATGAAAATGCTGGATCATCCAAATATAGGTACGTATACGTATGTATATACATACAGATTTTATTTTATTTATTACTCTTACATTAATGGCTTGTTTTATTTTTTCAGTAAAACTGTTTCAAGTAATTGAAACGGAGAAAACCTTGTACCTTGTGATGGAATATGCAAGTGGTGGAGAGGTCTTTGACTACTTAGTTTTACATGGCAGAATGAAAGAGAAAGAGGCTAGGGCTAAATTTCGTCAGGTACTCGAGAAAATTACAATAAATGAATCTACGATTCAAAGTAATTAATAATACTTGGTATTATTGCAGATTGTGTCCGCAGTACAGTATTGCCACCAAAAGAAAATAATACACCGGGTAGGTCCCATGGTTGACATTATTCATATCAGAATATTCTTATTCTATATAATTCGAATACATTGTTGTTTTCAGGATCTAAAAGCAGAAAACTTATTATTAGATAGTGAAATGAATATCAAAATAGCAGATTTCGGATTTAGCAATGAATTTACTCCAGGAACCAAACTGAGTAAGTGTCTATTTCTTATTTTTTATTTAATTATACATAACTTATAATAGTTGGTGGTTACGAATACTAAATCTTGGTTAGTGTAGAAAAATAATTATGTATAATGTACAAGTTTAATAGCCCGTATAGCCAGATTATTTGGGGTAAGTTAAGTCTGTCGGGGGCAATGTGAAATCCAGCGTGCGGTTCAAATGGTAACATACATGCTTCCATAAAACTACCCAACGTCGTTCGGAAGACTCCTCTGCTACAAATGCACCTTCCTCTCGAGCATAATCGAGTTGAGTTTTGAGTTCCTCAACGACCCGTGAAGTCAATCAGAGGTTATCATCTTCGAGAAGTCGTACCTCGGAAGAGCCTCGCCTCCTCAAAACAATCGGCAAAGGCAATTTTGCAAAAGTCAAGTTGGCAAAGCACCTTCCAACACATCCCAACTCTTGGAACCGCCAGCAGAAGTCTTCCCTCCCACCTCCTCCTCGTCGACGTCCGAGGATAGCAAATCTTGTTCGTCGTCATCTGAACTTGAACTCTCAGATTTAACTTGGTGGCTTTCTCCATCTTCGTCCTCGAGATTATAATTTTCTCTTCGTCGTCATCGTCATCCGAGGATAGGGAATCAGGTGAGAGTCAAATTCTCTAAACTTTTTTGCTATCCGAGTTATAAATTAAACTAATTAATGTAAATTACACCTCAGGTGCATTGGGAAATCGAAGTGTGTAAACTGCCTTGTCTTTCTCTCAACAGCGTGCGGTTTAAACGCATCTGCGGCACTTTTATTGGTACAAATAATTTGAATTAAAAAGATTAACCTAACCCTTATATCATTTTTATAATAATTGAATTGTTTTTGATTTCAGGACTTCTCCCACTCCATCATGGGGATTCCAGGGCTTCATCCAAAGATTGCCAATGCCACGGTCCCATGCCACCTGAAAAGGTTCTTCGGCAGAGTGGCAGCCGTCGACACCTCGGCCTGGATCCACCGATGTTGGCAAGTGTCTGGCTCGCCGTCCGCCAGCGTCCGGTTTGTTTTGAGGAGAGTGGAGTTGCTGCACCGCCTCAACATCAAGCCCCTGATGATCTTGGACGGACGCACCCCACAGGCAAAGGAAGAAGAAGTTGCCCGGAGGACAGGAGGACACTGTCCACCCCCCAAACGTCTCATCTTGAGGAGTCTCGTCAAGAAATTCCGCAAGATGAGAGTGGACTACCTCGTCTCGCCCTTCGAGGCTGACGGACAGCTGGCCTTCGTGGAAAAGGTCGAGATGGCGGACCTCATCATCACCGAGGATGGAGACACCGTGGTGCCGGGGTGTACGAATGTATGTCCATCACCTAAAAATGAATCAAAATATAAATCTAAATATCTTTATCAATTTTTTATTCTTTCAGATCTTCTTCAAGATGAACGCGGAGGGCGAGGGATTTTGGTTCACTCGGTCACTTCTGTACCGATGTGTACCTGGATTCACCTCCGAGTCCTTCAACTTCACCGGATTCGTGTTTTCCTGTGTCGCTGCTGGATCCGACTACATGAAGTCGCCATATGGAGTCGGGATCGTCACTTGCCTCAAGGTCCTCCAGCAATTCCCTCAAGTCGAGGACATGGATGAGGTGAGTGAAAGTTTAGTTTTAATATTGATTTATGTTAACATCTTTTTATTTATTTTGAAGTTCATCTTGATGCTGCGTGGAAACGTCCCTCAAATCGAAGAACAAGATGAGGAGGAATACCGACAACGCTTTCTTCGTGCTGTGCAAATGTTCCAGCATCAGATAGTTGTGGATGTCGTGGAGAAGAGGCTTGTTCCGGTATCCGCTGTGGATGTTGGTGTGGTTCCTTTCGCGGACGAGTATTTTGGAGATGAGTTGGGGATGGAGGTGGCCAAGGGAAATGTTGACCTGAACACGATGCGGGCTGTGGATGACTTCGACCCGTCAGCTGCTGAGAACTTTGTAAGTTCGTTTAATTTTGAAATATAAAATGATGGTTATGAATAGTGGTGACTTTTCTACTTATTTGCAGGGTCAGGATCGTACATCAATTTGGCATCCGAATTACGACCCGACCAAGAGAATCCAGCACGAAATGCAGCCTCTCATCATCCCTCCGTTTCTTCCCCGCAAGTTCAAATGCACCAGGTGCCAGAAGGGCTTCAAGACGAGGGAAAAGCTGCTTCTCCACTTGGCCACTCCTCACCCTAAGCTCTTCCACTGCCTCCTGTGCAACTATTCGTGTTACCGTTCCGGCACTCTTCTTCGCCATACGAGGGGCGTTCATCAAGAGGAGAGACCCTTCCAGTGCCCCCTTTGTCAACGAAGGATGAAGATTGGGGCCAATCTTGATACTCACATCCGATGGCATGCCGGTGGGCGGAACTTTAAGTGCCACCTCTGCAGTTTCCTATTTACCAACAAGGGGAACATGCAGGTCCACATTGCTCTCGTCCATGAGAAGAAGAAGGATGTTGTTTGTGGGAAATGCGGAGCAGATTTTGGACGGAAGTCGGATTTGAAGGTCCACGACAAGGCCAAGCATCAAGGAGTGAAGTTTCCATGTCCCCGCTGTGGCGAAGAATTCACAGCTCAGTCATCAGTCTCGAACCATATCAAGGCTGTTCACGAAAAGATCAAGGACTTCCAGTGCGACGTATGCGGCTCAAGTTTCGCCAAGAAGGCGCATTTGGATAGACACACCAAAGGAGTCCACCTTAACCTGAGGCCGTTTGCCTGCGATTGCGGTTCTACTTTCGCCAACGCTTCGCACTTGAAGCGGCACAAGGCCCAGAGCTGCGCCATGCAGCAATAATCACCTAAATACTTATTTAAACACTTAATTTTAGTCAATCGTGAAATAACCACCAACTTTAATTTTAGTTCGAGGTCAATTAAGTAGCATGTAAAGGTCATACTAAAGGTCAAGGTCAAATTTTTCAGTGACGTTCTGTGGGTCACCACCATATGCCGCCCCCGAGCTGTTTCAAGGTCAGTAGAAAGGTCGAAATGTCGAAAAAATGAAAAAGATGAAAAAAATGCATGCATTTCTGTAATAGGGAAAGTATACGATGGGCCTGAAGTCGATGTTTGGTCACTTGGAGTGATTTTATACACACTAGTCAGTGGGTCGTTGCCTTTCGACGGGACAACGCTGAGGGAGTTGAGGTAATTTAATTTTAAAGCAAATTGTGTTTTTTTTGTTTGGAATTGATGGTATTAATGATTGGATGTTTTTATTATTACGCAGGGAGCGGGTTCTCCGTGGGAAATATCGGATACCTTTTTATATGTCCACTGACTGTGAAAATCTATTAAAAAAATTTTTAGTTCTCAATCCAGCTAAACGAGCATCGTTAGAGGTGATAATTTAAATCAGTAAATCAGACTGGTGGTCTGTAACTGTACCATTTGGATTATCTGTTCTTTTATAGACAATAATGAAGGATAAATGGATGAACATGGGTTATGAAGAAGATGAACTTAAGCCCCATATCGAACCTGAATCGGACTACACAGATCTAAGGAGAATAGGTACCACATCGTTTTGTAGAATTATGAAAACCGTGTAGCAACACAATAGAAAGTAATGGTAGATGCTATTAAATGTATAGAAATACTAGCGGGGATGGGCTACAATAAGTCTGACATTGAGGATAGTTTAAAGCAACAAAAATATGATGGTATGTACTTGAGCTAGTTTTATTTTATCCAACGTAAATATGCACACATTGTAATCACTGTTTCTCGTTTTATTTGTAGACATATTTGCAACCTATTTACTACTTGGAAGGCGATCGTCAGATGTGAGTGTCATTCATGCGTCAGTTCATTGTACAGTTTGGGTTGATAATTTTTTTTCTTTTTTGCAATATCTAGTTGGAAAGTGATGGTTCAAGATCGGGCAGCTCATTATCATTACGCAACATTGTTGGGGGAGGAGGCGGAGGAGCAGGGACCGGGAACTCAGTAGCGACTGGCGGAACAGGTGGTCAATCGCCGTCTCATCATAGAGTTCACCGTTCCATATCGGCCACCAACTCCAAGCCCTCTAGAAGGGCAAGCGGTGGGGAAAGTTTGCGTGAATCCATCGCTTCTCACGCGGCTGGTGCGCAGTTAACTGTCTCTGTTTCTAATGTAACTGTATGTAGTCCATGTCGTCTACGAACGGTTACATTACACACCACCACTTTAACTGCACTATTTTATACTGACCATTATTATTCACTTTCAATATCTCTCTCTCTCTCTCTCTCTTTATTGTCTGTGCTTAATGTCACTTGAAAACAGTAATACTCTCTCTCTTTTTTACTAAATTTTATTATGATCTATTTCTGTCAAATTCCTGCTTAGAGCTTTTGGTGGCTTAATTACGATATTGAACAAAAGAAAGCTCTTTCTTCAGAGCTTCTTCTGGTGTGGTCGTGTTTTGGTGGCCGTAAAACTTTTGTTTACTATACTTGTTGCAAAGTTATCTCATCATTTGTGACAAATATTTGTGATTCTTTTGCCATGACAGGGACGGGGAATAATGCTGCTGCAAACAATCATAATTATGCAACTCCTCCTTCAGGGAATTTCAAACGTCAAAACACGGTAGATTCTGCAACTATCAAGGAGAATACGGCAAGAATAAGTGCTGCAAACAATGCGGCTGGAATAAATTCCACTCGACCCGTATCTGCTACTGTCAAGACTGCAAACACTCCGTCTTCATTAGACACAGGTATGCAAATTTATACAAAAAGCTTTATTGGACCTTTGACCATACTTGATTAATTCTGCTCATTAGGTGCTGCCAACAGCCCAAAACCTCGTGGTATAACAAAGTCCAATACAATGACAGGGACAGGAAACCGGTCAAACCCGATCGGGGGTTCTGTTGGCCGCAGTGGCCGAAGTGCCGTGGGTTACGAGGCCAAGGCTTCCTCCAACGAGAAGACAAATGCTGTGGGAGATTCTGCTACAAGGTAATTAAATTATTTCTCTTTTCTTGATTCCGTAATACCTGCACATTATTTACTTGTTTATTGCACTTCAGTGTTGCACATTCGACACTATGTATTTATAAATGTTTTTTAATTTCCTTCTGTTCTCAAACCTGATTTCTTGTTCTTTTTTTCTGGATGAGATGCATCGTATCACCGTGTATGTGCGAATGTAAATGTCTCACTCCTTATACTTATTGTACTATATTTGGTGTAGTGGTGCTTTATTGCCGGTGGGTGGTGGTGGGGAAGTGGGTGCTCGTGCGAAAGGTCATACAAAATCTGCCTCCATTTCTGCTGCTGGTTCTCGGCACTCTGACTTACCACCGCTTGACACTAATATCGATTCTGCTCTTAAAAGGTTAGTTTTCCTTCTCCTTGGTGCATAATGTGTGTCCTACACAATGTCCTACAATGATGAACTTCAATAATTTAGTAATACTGTTTCTGCCAAAAAAATTACTACTTGAATAGTTTTGGGAACTCGCTAAATTAAATGTTACTCTTGGAATGATGAATTGCGCTTTAAATGTGGGGAATGAATTAATGTTGATGGAAAATGTTGTTGGACTTGGGATGGAATATATGTAACAATCCGTTTTGTTTATCTCTTGTTGTGCAGCTCGAACAAGACGAGTGGGGGGTTACCAGCGGGGGTAGCTCCGACAAATAGGAACGCTTTTCCAAGAAATGTGCCCAGTCGGTGAGTACTATAAATATGGGTTGCACTTACATTTTGTATTTATTTATTCGCGTGTAATGATTAATAATAAAATATAATGCTTGGGGGGTTGCTTATTTTATGTTGCTTGATTTAGGTCTACGTTCCACTCTGGGCAAAATAGACCAAGAAATCACGCATCGAATGCATACTCGGCGCTCACCACGCAGGACACATCGTCAATCAACCCAGGCGCTAGATCGTCATTTTTCTCCAAATTGTCCTCTAGATTTTCCAAAAGACCGATGGAAAATGTCCCACCCTCGACGCCGACGACTATGAGCAAGCTCCCTGGGTAAGAAACCACCTCTTCTTTTATCTATAAGGTATGACCCAGCAACTATTTACTTGTTGTATCACCATTTTATTACTAAAACATTATCCTATAGTAATTTTATTTAATTAATCTGGTGGTGGCTGCTGGTATAGATCGAATGAGTGATATCATAAAAGTAGCTAAACTAATCCAAAGTATTATTTAACACTTTTACATCATATTTTTACTTGTATTGTAGTACATAGTTTTCTAATCCACTAAATATTTTGATTCGTTTTTGTGCTTCGAATTGGTTTTTGGTTGCTGGGTACATACTTTTATGATGGAGTTTTGAGGCATTTAGTTAGCAAAAACGACACACTTATATATTTGCACTTACATAGTCTGACGCTATTTTTAACTTATAATAATATTACTATGTGTTGTGTTTATGAGAGCGATTCATGTTTTTGACTTTTTGTTACTGATAGTGTGTATATATCGAGCTGAATGAACGTCTTTACATATGTATGTACATAGGTGGTGAATGGGACGACATATACTTGAATCTTTTGTAGACTGATTTTTTTCTTCCATTTCCATTTATTATTATTATTATTACACTATAAATAAAATAATTTGAAACAAAGATTTAATCGGCCGTGATGTACATAGGCTTGACTTTGTTTCAGACAACAACAACCACCATCACTTCCTACAAACCAAAACCAACCCATAGACGAAGCAAGCCAAGTCAAACCACGTTCCTTACGGTTTACTTTTAGTATGAAGACCACCTCCACAAGAGACCCAAACGGTAATCCAAACGCACGCTTTATGTACATATCATCTTATTATTGCATTACCATTATATAGTTCTTCTTAATAATAATGATAATATTGGTTTTGTAGAAATTATGGCCGAGATTCGAAAGGTGAGTTAACCAACAGTATTAAAGCGCTACGTGGCTGCTTGACTGGTGTTTTATATGAGTGAAATATTTATGTTAACCCCGTGCTGGTACCAAAAAATTAGGTCTTGGACAGTAATAACTGCGATTACGAACAACGCGAGAAATTTCTCCTCCTCTGTGTTCACGGCGACCCGAATACTGACTCTTTGGTGAGTTTAACTATAGGGAAAAATGGATCAGGGCTATAAATTATACTGATTAATGTAATTTACACCTCAGGTGCAATGGGAAATTGAAGTGTGTAAACTGCCTCGTCTTTCTCTCAACGGCGTGCGGTTTAAACGCATCTCCGGCACTTCCATCGGTACAAATAATTTGAATTAAAAAGATTAATTTGCATTATCACATTTTGGAAATAATAATCATGTCAATTATTGAATTGTTGTATTTCAGGATTCAAGAATATCGCGTCCAAAGTGGCCAACGAGCTCAAGTTGTAAACATGTCAAGTACCTACTAGGCTAACCTTGGTGTACACACGTACCAGTGTTCGTAATTTTTTCTACACTCAACACGTGGAAATTAATACGAATCCACCATTCTTAGTATCCGTTGCCGGTGATTTCTCCTCCTCTCCATTCATCCTCCCTCGTCTTTACCTTTATGGAAAGAAAAGAAAAACGTCTCCGTTTCATTGGAGTCTCCTTCACTTCACTTCACTTAAAAAAACCCACCCATTCACCAAACCACAGTCGTCGGTCGCCGTCTTCATCAAACTAACAACCACAACAACTACTACTACTACTGTTCGTTCGTCGTTCGTATGATAGTCACTACACTACTACTACAGTACTACTACTTCTAGTTGGTATCTCAACTTAATTAATGTACCATTTATATAACAAACTTAGTTTTAGCTATTTCACCAACAACACAAAGGATACACAATTACTATTACATAATGATAACACCCAGGCTTAAGCAATGATGCTGATTTTGGTGGACTTGTTCACCAAAAGTCCTCCTCCCTCACTCCCTCCAAGACCTCATGACGAAAGTACCAGGAGATGACCGACAAATAATTTATTGTTTTCCATTATATTATAATGAATGGGACTTATTTAGTAGACGAAAAAGAATTATTCACCAGCGATGTTGTAGTATGTAGCTCTGTGTTACTGCTGCGGCTTGTACTACTACACCTCGCATTAAAAAAACAAATATTTATACCAAGTTTTATCCTCTGTACATTATAACTTATTATTTAATAACCAGCAGAGAGTATAGTAGCAAAGTATTGTTTGTATTTGGCATTATTCAACTTACTTATTACGTACGTCGTGCGTGCGAAATGATTTTCGGTGTGTGACTGGGGCATAATCGCTCGGACTGATTTAAACATTTTAATCTTATAATATACATTTAGATTTTAAACTGTTGCTATTTCATTACTCATAATAATTGCATTATGATTATCATTATTATTATAATTTAGCGTCTCCCAAACGCTCATTTTCATCGTTCAGTGACGACGACGAGCATTTTAAATGAAAATAAAACTGTAGATAACTTGTCAATTTACAAAGATGTATACATACACACAAACCCCAACATTTTTTTGAGTTTCCTTGAAATAATGGTTCTTCAATTTGTGCAAGTGTTTGTGTGTGTGTTTTTTTCATAGTATTTCATTCATGTAGTGATAATACTTTTGCTTGAATGTCCCATTACTTGTATTATTACTACGTTGACTTATTACGTGTATTGATTGTATTTAGTCATCACTGAAAGAAGAAGAGTAAAATGGACTCGTCGCCCCCTCGTTGTCGTCGTCGTCGTCATCATCCTCAACGTTTCTCCATATTACAAGAACTATTCATAGTATTCCTTGATTTATGATGATGATGACGATGAAATAACTAATTTGTGACATTAGAAATGTGTAGCCCATGCCTCAACTGGGCAATCTTAAAAATTAAAAGCATACAAATTGTGACTATGAATTGTACGAAATGCAATCATTTATAGTACATTAAATTACCATTACTAAAAGTACCACAAAAACCAACAACCTCAATAATTTACCTTGTTACTAAAACCGCTTACTCTTAATAAATATGTACGGACAAGTAATATGCAAACCAAAAAAGAACCTCCTGGTAGTTATGTAAATGTGCTACATATGACATACACATATATGCAAAATGCAAATATGGTGTTGCCCAATAATGTGTACATCATTTCAAATCAAACACTAAATATGTATACAGTTAACCATTCAGAGTATTTCCATTTCAAAATTGTATACGGCGCAAAGGAAGGCATAAGAAAGGTTAGAAGAAGGCTTAGACAGATCTGGATTCTGGGCAATGATGATTGTGTGTATAAAAAAGACGAATGATAAGGACAATATGCCTCATGCTCAAGTGTTTTCGAAATTTGGTTATTTTGAAATCACAACAAAATGAATTCTTTTCTTAGGGAGATTTTGATCTTGACCTTCTTGACACCAACCCAGTCTCTTTGTGTGCGGAGCCACTTTCATATTTTCATATGCATTTTGTACACGGTTCATATTACATGTGTGCACCTATTTATACTTATTGCAAATCGTTTAAAAGCGATGATAACATCCGGTCTAGTGCGCAGTGTCTTGTCTGCGCAGTTCGGGTGATCTATGCACCATGTTGTTTCACGTCATGCTCGGAATTGTGGCATTTATTTGCACCCTGATCAAACTGAATCTAAGAAATCGTTTGTGGGGTACTAGTGGGTCGACAGGCTCCAATAAACCTTGTCCCCCAGGCCCTTGGTGTTTCCCCCTTTTTGGGTACATGCCATTTTTTGCATATAAACCTCTCGAACGACTTCAGGCATTGGCCTCCAACTATGGCGAAATCTGCACAATTTTTCTAGGGCAATACAGGCAAGCACCGTTTTTGGTCAAATACATTTATACACGTACTTATCATCACATTATGTACTCAAATCCAGGGCAGCACTAATTGTTTTCAATGATTAAATAGGGTTGTCGTGCTCAACAGCTACTACACGATTCGGGAAGCTTTCAAAGAGGATGCATTTTCTGGGCGTCCAACCCTTAAAATGTTGGAAGTTCGCAATTCTGGTGCCAATGTTGGTAATAAGTATACATTTAGTTGCTAGAAAACCCCTTATTTGCATATCCAAAATACGCATAATAAAATTAAAGTACGCGTATTCTTAGGCTTGGTCTGCAGTGAGGGAAAAACTTGGGCGGAACAACGCAAGTTCACAATGCGACATTTGCGAGATCTTGGTTTTGGGAAACAATCCATGGAAGGAGTAATTAATCATTAACTATTTATGACTGCATAAATGACCTAGAAAATCTTGTGAGTCACAAGATTTTCTACGAAGGGTCACAACATGCATCAAGTAGAATGAATGAATTGAGATCAAATAATCAAGTTGTCCACATGTATTGCAGCTTCTCCTTCAAGAAGTGAACGAGTTGAGCACATGGCTGAGGCATGTCATTTAGAATTTACTTTATTGACCAGGTCCTATCTTGGTGCTGCCAAGTGCTATAATTTATGTGGGATTGATAATTTTCTTTCTGCTCCACATGTGCACGCAGTGGGAAAGTTGGGACTCCTGTTGACCTAAAAGCTCGTCTCAATCTCGCAGTTTTGAACGCCTTGTGGAGCATCATTTGTGGACAACGCTACTCTCACGACGATGTTCGTCTTCAGAAAATTGTCAACAAAACTTCTGCGTAAAATTAATGCACTAATAAAGTAATCTGTAACCTTGAAATATATTATAAACTTTATGGTATGCATGCATATGAAGGGACTTGTCAGAAACTCAGTACACTGGGCCACTCTTATTCCTCCCGTAAGTCTAGAAAACAGTATAAAGGCACAATTTCATCTATAATCAAGTATTTCATTCGATTTATTTATATTTATATGTGGCTGCTCAAGTTGGCCCCACGCCTCACTCGTTGGAATGCTTTCGTTCACTCGATCTCTGCCGTGCACCGATTTCTGCAGGTCAGAGTGTAATGTCAACTTGGGTTGCCCACTTATTGAAATATAAGTGAGAGAGTGAGAGTAAATTAATTACCAGGACATAATTGAGGAACACAAGCAAGAACGGAGCACACAAGGACGAAATTCGGGAGGCATGAAGGACTTTATTGATTTGTATCTCTCCGAAATTGATGCCACGAGCGATCCTGCGTCCAGTTTCTATAAGGAACGCGGTGGTAAACCAATATAGATAACCAATAATAATAAAAAGTGCATGACCAACATGCATACTTTCACCTTCAATTTGATGCAGAGCATTCACTGCTCATCACCCTCTTGGACCTTTTCATGGCTGGGGCTGATACGACGAGCGCGACTCTGTACTGGGCCTTTCTCTACATGGTCCTTCATGAGGTAGGACCTGTTGAGATTACACTCTGGCCCACTCTTGATAAGCATATTGACTCTTTCTGCCATATATCCACGTAGTAATATTATACGCATCGTTTAGGATGTGCAGAGGAAAGTTCACAACGAAATTGACCTGGTCCTTGGAAATTCTCCTCCGTCTCTGGACCATAAGAAATTGTAATTCTATATTGCTCCTATTAGTCATCATTAACTTTCGCCATCACATTCATGGATTTGATATCCTTCAGAATGCCATATACCGAGGCTGTGTTGCTGGAAATTTTAAGAAAGTCGTCACTGGTGCCGATGGGTCTATTTCACAGCACGACGTCTAACACTAGTGAGTCATAATTATTGTACTTAATGCAGTGGCGGAGGTATAAAAAATTAGACGACGATTGGGAACAACTATAAAAAATTACTTGATAGAACTCTTGGGCTTTGACATCCCAAAGGACACGGTGATTATGGCCAACTTGTACAATCTCAACAACGATGCTGCATATTGGGGTGACCCTCAAACATTCAGACCAGAACGATTTCTGGACGACTCTAAAACAACAGTGGTCAAATTTGAAAGGTTCATTCCGTTTTCGACAGGTTAGTTCATCGTGGGCATCGTTTTAATCTAATATTGAATATTATACTGGCTACGCGTGCATAGAGATGTGTATGATTTATATTTATGTACTAGGAAAAAGATCCTGTCCTGGAGAAAATCTATCCAGAGATCAACTCTTTTTATTTTTCGTGGGTCTTCTTCAAAAGTTTATATTCGTTTCCGATTACGCCAGACCTAAACCATCGGATAAGCCCAATAATGGTGTGATTTTGAGTGCTAGCCCTTACACCGTCGTGGTTCGGAGCAGGGTGGTTGGAGTTGAATAAAATTTACATGGATCCAGACACAAATTCAACAAAAATAAACCAACTACTATTTACTACATATTTGTGTAAAATAATTTATTGATACCCGAGTTTTGATGATGATGTAAGCTTAAATTACAATCGTCGCTAAAATAAATCATACATAATAATGCGAAAGCGTAGAAAAGCTACATATACAAAGATTACATTAAGAAGACAAAATTACGTCAAAAAGAAGAAATACATATGATCATTTCACGCATAACCTGGTTGACTAGAATATTAGAAAAGTGAGAAAGAGTTTGCAATTGTTCCTTTGTTACATACGTTTGCTTGTTCAACCCTATGTCCGTTAAGTCAATTTCTTTTTTGTTGTCGTGTATCGTTCCATATACTAAATCAGACAAATATTGATCATAATTTTACAAGGTGCATATGCAACGTGAAAAATGTTTTTTAATGCAATTTTAGCAGGGTGCGAAGTATGTACCCTATGTACCTTGTCATATCCTTCAGATTCGTGGAGCTTTTTTTCGTCAAATAGATTTCCCTCGACGCTCAACAAAGCAACGTGAGAATCTGACAGAATTTGGACTGGGAAATTCTCAATGGACAAACAGTTTTCTTGAAGCCGCAATGTTTTAAGGTTTGGACATTTGGCAAGATCTGCGCTAACTTTCTTTATCTGTTGTGAGGAAATCGTATTACAAAATTGTAATTGTTATATAGTTCAAATATATACCTGATTTTGATTTAAAATCAGTTCCACAACTTGAAGTCCGCTAATGCCATCAGGCACATCGGTGATCCGATTTTTTGACAAATCCAAAACACTTAAAAACTTGAGAGAAGCAAAACCTGCCGGGAACACTGTGATGGTATTACCACTGAAAAGAAGAAAAATCACGCGTTTTAATTATATTTTACATAAATACATTACATTCATAGATTAATAAACATGTACCTTAAATTAATATCTTTAAGCTTTGGAAGCTTTTGAACAGAGACAGGAATGACTTTGATCCTATTCTGCGACAGGTACAAAGTCTCCAACTTTACCAAAACTCCAAGCTGTTCTGGAATAACCTCTGAAATTTTAAATTTAATATTTTTGTATTAATTACGCAGCGTGGCTGTGGATTGTTCCGATTACATATGCAAATCGGAACAATACGTCAAAATATTTGTTACCAATTAAGTTGCTATTCAAATTAAGCAATTTGAGGTTTAGGAAAGCTCCAATATTTTGTGGGATTTCGGTAATTTTGTTCTCGCTCAAGTCAATACTTCTTAAAACTCCAACTACTTTGACCAGTTCTGGAGGGAACTGTAGATCAGCAGTTGAATTAATTATTAAACTAATAATATGTTAATAATGTTGATTACTGTTTGAGGATGCTCTTACACCCTGAAGTTTTGCTTTCGATAAGTGAAATACCCCAGTTTTCTGTGAAGTTTCCACATGCTGCTTCAGCCCTTGGTTCCCCATTGACAAGGTTGCCCCCCGAGACCGGCCCCACCCCCAAAATTTCCTGCAATTGCAGACAAAATAAGTAAATAAAAGTAAACAAATTTGAAATGAACAATTTTTCGCCATTCTTCACAGTACACATAATATTTATACAGGAAACTAACTAAATGTTGAATATTACACAATTAACATTCAATTGATAGACTATAATTGAATATCAATTGTGTAATATTCATCTATAATTTATAGGACAAAGATAATCTTGAAATTATAAACATTACATATTACATCACACGTTATATTTTTACCTAAAAGTAAAGGCTACAATAAAAATCTTTGAACTAGCACCACAATCAATATTTTTAATTAATTTTTAACTAATTATTGACATAATCAACAATTTGCAATCATGAAATGAGATGAGATTTACAATCGGCAATCTGAAAAGAGCAAATCTCTTGGAGCGAAGAGAGAAATAAATTGTGTGGCAAGGAAAAATAAACCATTCGGCTACAAAAAATGTGCAATGTGATACACATGTGCTCGAAAGTTATTTACGGTCCATTGTAATAATTACTTCAATTAATCTACTTTGTGGTGGGCAACTTGTCATCAGTTAGAAACGATGGGGAAGAAAAATAAGTCAGTCAAGAACAAGTCCGAGGGCACTGTGGTGTCCAAACAATCCCCTTCAATTCCATCATCATCAAAGAAGAACTTTACGTCTGAAGATGAGAGATTTTCTGGCGTCCTCAACAACCCGATCTTCAGATCTGTGCCAAAGAATGAAAAGAAAATTGCTATTGATAAACGATTCGAATCCATGTTTCATGTAAAGGGCTTACTTTCTACATTATTTTAATTCGCTAAAATTTTAATAATTAGAGTAACAAAATTACTTGACACTTTATCAGTCTATAAGGGAGACGCGTTACCTAGATACTTAAGGTCAAGCAATCGTGTTAGAGTAAGGTTTACAAACTTGTTCGGAATCAAATTGCCGTGAAAATTTCACTACAACAACAAAATGAATTTTGAATGAAATTTTGCGAGAAATGAGTTAATTCAATATTATTTGACACTTTATCATTCTATATTATTTCTATGGGGCACCGCCCATAGAAACGATGTCAGTTAATCGTGGAGTTAATTTCACCTAAAAAGTTTTTACTAAAAACTCAAAAACTAAATTTTCACGCCAAGGCGATTTTACGTGAAACATGACTTGTAAACCGCCGTTAATTGTTGGTAGTTGAAGTCGATAATTTTAGTAGAGAAAAGATTCAGGCATATAAGATTATTTGACACTTTATCAATCTATTAAGGGAGAAGATATATTAAATGGACCAGATATATTAAATGTCAAACATACATTGATAAAGTGTTAAATAATCTCGAACAAACATTATTTTATTTATTTTGCAGGACAAAGGATTCAAATTGCGGTACAAGGTTGATAAGCGAGGACGTCCCGTTAATTTTACAACTGACGAAAACCTAAGAAAATATTATAATCTCGAGGACGAAGATGGAGAAAGCCACCAAGTTAAATCTGAGAGTTCAAGTTCAGATGACGACGAACAAGATTTGCCATCCTCGGACGACGACGAGGAGGAGGTGGGAGGGAAGACTTCTGCTGGCGGTTCCAAGAGTTTGGATGTGAAAGCGCGTTCAGAACTGCCAGAGTCTGTAAAAAAGTTACTTCACAGCAGCAAAGTCGATTATGCTCGAGGGGAAGGTGCATTTGTAGGAGAGGAGTCTTCCGACGAGGAAACAACGTCCGAAGAGGAAGAAGAACAAAATAATGTTGAACATGGTAAATCAGGCAACTCTAATAAGAGTAACTGATATATTACTTGACAGGGATTTTAATTATACTTGGTCTATTATATTGCCTAGAATGGGGAGAACTTGACAAAGATGCATCGAGAACAGAAGATTCGACCAGACGCCTCGCTCTTTGCAACATGGATTGGGATCGAATAAAAGCTGGCGACTTGATGCTGCTATTTAGCTCATTCTTGCCCCCTGGAGGATCACTATCTAATGTTTCGGTAATTCTCGTACTTGCATAATTACCATTTAATTAATTGACGATAATTTATTAGAGAATTGTTTACTGTGTAGATATTTCCATCCGAATTTGGAAAGGAAAGAATGGCAGAAGAGGATTTGAAAGGGCCGTTAGAATTGAAGCAGTTTAAACAAGAGTACAACTCCGATGAGGAGGTCGAGGGGAAGAATGCCGACGACAATTCTGACAATGACGAAGGTTCAGAGTATCAGAGAGAGAAAATGCGTCAGTATCAGCTAAACAGATTAAAGTAATCAATACATTGATACCACAGTTTTATCCCATTAAAAAATATATACAATATGTGTCAGGTGCCACATATTTACTATGTGGACATTAGAGTTTAAATGATTTCGTTTTCACTGTTAAATCAGGTATTTTTATGCCGTTTTGGAATTCGACTCTCCCGAAGCAGCGGATAAGGTTTACACCGAATGTGACGGTATGGAATACGAGTCCAGCTCTGCAAAAATAGATTTGCGATTTATACCTGATGACATGGAATTCGACGAGGTGAGTCTCTATATTGCAAGTCTCGTATTCGTGTATATGTATAATTCATGCTCTTACCTCGACGATAACGTGTCTGCTTGTTTATGTACTTTATCAAAATAGACACCAAAGGATACATGTAATGCGGTTCCTGATGCGTCAAAATATCGACCAAAGTTTTTCACAACGACTGCACTCCAACAAATCAAAGTTAGTCCAAAGTTAACCAAAATTGGTTGATTGTCCTAAGCGAGCGATGCCTGATGAAAACAGTACATTAGTAGTATTGGAGTTATCTATTTTGTCTGTACAGGTTGACTGCACTTGGGATGAAACAGATCCCACACGCAAAGATCTAATTGCACGAGTTTTGGACCCCAAGGAAAAGATTGATGATGAGGATCTGCGTGCTTATTTGGCGTCGTCGTCGTCAGATTCTGAAGTTGAAACTGTTGAAGAGAAGGAACCAACTTTAACAAGTGCGTTCATATTCATGTTTATAGAATTAATGTTTTATATTAAACTTGTATATTACCAAAAATATTAATAATTTCATATGTAACTATATTTTGAATCCATGTTGTAGAAGGTCATTCCGAGTCTGATTCGATTGCAAAGTATCAAATGCTCCTCGACTCTATTAAACAGAAGGAGGAAAGTAAGAAGAAGGACGTCGAACTTGAAATCAGTTGGGGAGTTGGACTCAAACAAAAGGCAGAAGAATTGGTCAAGAAAAAGTCAAAGGAAGATGAAATTAAAAAACTGACTCCTTGGGAAGAACGATTAACTAAACAAAAGGAAAAACGACGCCAGAGAAAGTTAGGAAAGCAATCTGTGGTGGCGACGGAAAAAGGTTCCGAGTCGTCAGGCAGTAGAGACGACGATGATGACGACTCCTCTCTTGATCAGCCTTTTAGCGATGACGAGGTGGATGTTGATATGAACGATCCTTTCTTCAAACAAGAACTCAAGTCGCGCGGTCAGAGGGTCCAGGGTCAGAGAAAACAAGATAAAAAGTTGGAAAGGCCAAAAACTGATGCAGGAACGGACGAAAAGTCGATGGTACTATTAATTTGTAATTTATGTCTCTTGTTAATGAAGGTTCATAAATATTATTGTTTATTCATCAATAAATGTGCAGGGCCAACTGGACCTCCTCCTGCTGGACGACGACAATCAAGGGAAGAATCATTTTAATTTTAAGAAGATTATAGCAGTTGAAGCGGAAACCAAATCCAAATCTAGGAGAAAGAGAAAACTTCAACTTAAAAAGAAGATACAAGAAGGAGAGCAGAATGATGACGATGGATTTCAAGTTAATGTTGAAGATACTCGATTTTCTGCCTTGTTCTCATCACATCATTACAATATTGATCCTTCAGAACCCAACTTTAAAAGAACCAAAGGCATGGAAAGTATAATTCAGGCTAAACAAAAACAGAAGATAGCCTTGGACGACCGTGTTGTGAAAAATGAAGGTCAAAAATCATCTCCTGGGGAAGAGAAGAAGACAAAGAATCGAGCAGAGTTGGAATATTTGATAAATTCTATAAAGAACAAGACAAAAAGTTTGAAATTAAAACGCAACAGATAATTCAATTACCTTAATATAGGACGACTATTAGATATAATTAAAATGCAATTCTTATAGTTGAATTAATACAACATTTTTATAAGATTGACAAACACTTTATTATAAAAAAAGTTTCAGACTAGTTTGTAACCATTTGACATAATAATTAATATCGTACGAAACTCACGTGTACGTGCATAATTTAATAATGCGTATGCCTTCAACACAATTCCCATAAATATACGACGCCATTCCTGTTATCACTTTAACCACAGCTTAAGTCTAAGGGCATCCACACCATTCAGATAATAACGAAATAGTCGTTTATCGCGGACAAATCCCAAATTTTCATAAAGACGTAGGGCCGACTTGTTAGTGATCTCAGTTTCCAATACGATCTGTAACAGTGAGAATCAAATCACGATCTCGCTCATCGTCAACGCCACACATTACATGATGTAATATATTATTAACTTGCATCCGCCATACCTCGTCAGCTTCTTCTGCAGCCATCGCCTTGATTGATTGAAGCACCAGATTGGAACCTGTCAAGAGAGTATTTCGAATTTAGTAAACTCGTCTCCTATAGACGTCCGTAGTCATTATGAGAAGAAAAAAAGTGCGTCTCCTCCGATCTCATTGTAAGGCACACTCACCAATTTTCTTTCTGCGATACTTCTCGTCTACTGCCAACATGGCAATATATCCTCTCCGATTGACTTGTTTATGAACATCTAGCTTACAAACAATCGCCCCTACCATTTCCGTCCCATCAATCGCTAAGAAACACAGTTTTGGCCAGTTGTGAATAAAGTAACGATACGTGTACACAGAATAGGGCTCTGATAAGTCCTTTTGAATTAGTTTCATAATGCTGGGCATTTGGAGTTCCGACTCATAACTTATATAACGAATCCCATGCTCCAAATCTAATCCTTCCATAAGTGAAACGAAATTTCGACGCTGTTGTTTATCCGTATCTTCACCGCCAGTCTCCAAATCATTCCTTGGCGTGGATACTTCTGGATCTTGGCCCAATCTTCCCATCATGTGAGTGGCGCACTTTGATGGGACCACAGGAGTTTCCGACTTGTCGTCGTCGTCGTCTGATTGAACAAGGGACGAGTCGGATACGAAGGTTGTAGTAGTAGACGAATGAGAATCATTCAACATAAATTAGTGACAAGAACTATGCGGAATGATTTCTTCGTGTGAACGTGCGATATGATAAAACTTCCAGATTAAAACAACAATCAACTTTGTTGAAATTTTAAAAGTCAAGTTAGACAAGGACGTGTATTATTAATCTTCTTAAACTAGTAAAATGCCAACCGTGCCAAAGTGCAAAGGGACACGCACTGTACAAGGTCGGATGTACGTAAGATACAAGTGGACGGTTTCACTGGTTGTCGACAAGTAGATTTTGTAAAATTTAAAATAGAATATTTACTTCGAACCAAAAAAAATATAGAATTTTACGATCCTTCCCATCCTTCCTCTGTTCCCGCTGCTGCCCGACGATGGCAGTTGGTACTTTTTGCCTTTTGCTCATGTTAATAAAACTACAGAGTAAGCTATAGTCGAGCTCGAAAATCGTTCGGTTTCGCATCTTCAATCACTTGGAAAATTCTAGGGGATAAGTGCTAAAAAACAAAAAAACCCATAGTACCACCCATAACCCCTAGAATTTTCTAAGCGATTGGTGCAACGGTAATACATAATATGCCTAGACTTTAGTTAACAGTCAGTCTTCGATGGGGTCAAATGATACGTCGTTTTCTTCTCCATTTTTAATTCCACCCCACCCCCACCCAATTCCAGATTAGTTTCACGGCTCTGGTACAAGATTACCGCATATTTGACGTTATACCAAGTTTTTTCATATGAGATGATGTGAATGATATACATAATATTATGTGCTAAATTTTTGACTCACGAGTGAGTTCGTCCGCCTTGGTATAGGAATAGACTTTCTCCTGGGGTCGTTCTCCACTGAAGTCCCCACTGATGCACCTGAGTCAGGCTGGGTGATGCGGTGTTCAGAACCGTACCTCCGGTTAGCAACTTGAAATCATTTCCTGGATTCCCGTCAAAGTCACCCAATAGCCCAGTCAATAAACTCTTGTTCTTGAGTGAGGCTGAGACGGATGCGGCGACATTCAAGGCGTCTGCCCCCTCAAAACGTTCCTACACAGCCCAAGGGGTTCGTCTAAGCCTTAATGCATGTTGGGGTTCGTCTAAGTATTAGTGTGGACACAACACGAAAAATCGGCGCTACCAGAGATTAGTTTCACGACAAGTATACCCTTTTCGGCCTTTTGATTTTGCAGACGTGTCTGTGTGCCCCAGTGTAGGAAATTAAAGCATTGTGAGCAGCTAATATCGTCGTTGGAATTTGACATAACCCTTAGTTGTGGTGTTGGAGTTGGAGTTCCAATGACCAAGTTCCAATGTTTGAGGCCTTGCTGACTACAGCTCCAAATGCAAGGCAGAAAGTCACACCCACAAGGCTCGCCCCATTCCGAATCCACCCCACGTTTTCACCTCCTCCTCACCCAGATTTATCACTCTGGCTGACATAGTGCTCTCCAATGGTGGGGTGTATTCGGGTGCTACCATCATGTTGGCGACGTCTAATGCAAATGTATACACCCCAATGACAATATGTTAACAGCGCACAACTACTCTCCGGACCCTGGCGGATTGCGGCACAGTTTTCACGACTCAAGACGCATTTTCCTCATTGGTTCCATCCTGTGGTGGCTATGGCATGCATGTTGGATGGATTGACTAAAGTGGGTGTGGTGTGGGTGGACCCGCAAGATATTCGAGGTGGGTGGAGTGGGAGGGCTTGATTCGTGTCGTGGTCATTAAATCTATAGCGAAGCTTCATCTTCATCACTTGTGGTGTCTCAAGTGGTGCATAGGTGTTGAGCTTTGGGAGGCTTATTCATTTTCATGCGCTGCGGGCAACTTCGCTCAGGTGTTCACATCAGTCAAACAAAACATAAAACGCAAGACCCAGGTTTCGAACTTTGCAAGCCAAGCTAACGCTCTGACAAACTTTACGTTCTTCAGGTGACTATCATCAGCATATAATTTCACTAATTTGAGCAGCTTATCACCATTCAATTTTTGCTACTTGTTTCATATGTATTAATTTTTACAAGTTTTTGATTTTATGTAAGTTTTCTTTTCTTTCCAGGCCCATTTGACCGTGTCTCTTAATTTGGAATATAATTATTACCAACTCTACTAACTAACTTGTTCGAGAATGGCACAATACAAGGGCGCAGCAAGCGAGGGGTCGAGAGCAATGCAACTGCAAAAGCGTCGAGAAAAGGAGCACAAGGAAGCGGAATTCAGGAAGAACAAATTAAAAGAAGAACTACGCGTGGATAAGATGGAAAATAAATTTGCCGTCCATTATGACGCGGTTGAAGCTCAGTTAAAGGTCTATATCATAATTTTATCACACAGTATAATACTTTCAGTATTTAGATAGCAAATCCTGGGTAGATATGGATCAATTTTATGTTTGACTTTATGCATTCTCTCAAACAGCACTCCACAATTGGTTTGGTCACTTTGGACGAAATGAGAGCAAAGCAGGACGACGTTATCAAGGAACGAGAGAAAAAGATTGCACAGAAGAAAGCAGAGAAAGAGCAGAAGCGGAAAGAAGAAATTGAAGCAAAGAATGCTCAGAAGCAGTTACAAAAGCAGCAGATTCGAGCCCTGTCTTTTTTAACCGAAGAAGATTGTGACGATGATGACAAAGGTTCAGGTGGGGGTCAGTCGGATGGAAAGGAAGTTGAAGAAATGGAGGATCACCAAGATGATGATGAAGACGACGTCACCGATGAGGATGAACTTGAAGAAGAAATTCCAACAAAAAAGAAAAAGATGGGAAAGAATCCTGATGTGGACACAAGCTTCTTGCCGGATAAGGACAGAGAAGCGGAAGAGAATCAACTACGAGAACAATTAAGATTGGTTAGTCTTTATACTCTCATTTAGAAAATAATTGACAAATACTACACATTACTAACAAATTTAATTTTGCACAGGAATGGGTTACACAGCAAGAATCTTTAAAAAGTGAGGAGATGAGCATCACGTACAGTTATTGGGATGGCTCTGGGCATCGTCGTGTCATGAAAGTTACGAAAGGTACACACTTAAATTACTTGTGTATGTTCATGTACAAAAAATAAATTATAATACGGGGAAAGTGCACCAACATATCGTTTCATTCAGGTACCTCCATTTATCAGTTTCTTCAGAAATGCCTAGAGTCGCTACGAAATGAGTTTGGAGAACTGCGAACGGTGATGGCGGATCAACTAATGTACGGTTTGTTTCAGTTTCAATAAACAAATTCTATAGGCTATTTGTTAGATTAAAATATCTATTGTTTTATCGTAGGTTTGTGAAAGAAGACTTGATTCTACCACATCACTACTCATTTTACGATCTTATCGTTACCAAAGCACGGGGGAAGAGTGGTCCTCTATTTGCCTTCCATGCCCTCGATGACATTCGAGTAACTCAGGACGCATCTAAAGAAAAGGAAGATTCACACGCTGGGAAAGTTTTACTTCGTACATGGTAATAATATGGCTAGTTTCTTCTTGAAGTTTAAATTACTGATGGGGAAATTGTTCAGTAAATGATAATGCTAATTGCTAACTAATGTTGGCATGTACTTAATAACTTATAGGTTTGAACGGAATAAGCACATCTTCCCTGCTTCACGGTGGGAACCCTACGATCCTAATAAAAGCTACGGAAAGTACACAATTGCAGACAAGTCAAAAATTAAGCGGCGTACCGTTTTATACATTGTGTCGGGTTTCATTTTTATCGTGAATAAAGTTACTGAATTTAATATACATTATTAAATACGCATTATTTGACACTTTTTAATGCTTATAAAACATGCATGAATACGCATTATTTCCCATGCAAATGATATGCATCATGAAAAAAGACAATCAATTGACGCGTGTATGACACTGTATGAGGAGCGTCATCTCAGAACCAGCAATTGTATTTAATACGGATTTGGGGAGAAAAATGTTTAAATATAGAGCATCAAAATTATGGTTGAGCTTGCCTTCAGATATTATGTTGATTGATAGTGATAAAGGTCTTAACTTGATAAAGAAGCAAATCAAAAGTCATCTTTTAAATTTGCAATGTGAAACGAGAATGAGAGAAATGCTTGTGTTATTAGATAATATGGAATAAGATTTTTATTTATTTATAAGATATGACTCTGCTCCCTTGAGATGTAAGATCCCAGAATTGGGGAATCTCATTGTAATAAATCAAATCAAAAATCAGAATCTCAAATCATCCTTTATTCTGCTGGACTGGGTGCATAGGTTTTATTATGAATGTCCATTGTCCAGCATTAGAGATATGCTACATATGCTTATAAACAAGACTTACAGGCAGAGATTCGGACAACACGTGTCAATAAACATTTAACTAACCTTGATGTTGCCATACGCCAAATATTTGCTGCGCCAGTTGATGTCCTTGTACACCAATCACGTTAAAGTCCGGTAACAACAACACCAACTCTGACAATTCCATGACATGCAGTGGTTCTCGTGAAAGCGAGGTACACAAACCTGAAACAGCGATAAGTACATTCCTCATGATACGCACATTGATCTTTCCATTGGGTGCATGAAAATTATAGGTGGTTAATTAATGAACCATGGGAGTAGATCATTCATGTCCATCTGCATGCGAATGCGACTTGTTGTTACATATACAAATGTGCAGTGCACATATAATGCACTTCATGCACCCAATCTAGATCCAGTTGAAGTCAAGCCGTGTAAGACAAACAAAGGGTTGGACGATCGACTAAAAAATCTTTATCTGGAAAACCTTTAATCCATATTGACTTGACTTGAGTGAAGTATCTATTTTGAGTTTTGGTAGAAGAATGGCTGCTCCCTCCAAAGAAGAAGTTCACCAGATTATGGAGGTACATTAACTCCCTGCAGAAAACACCCTTCGACTATTCGTGTGTACATATTTCCATACATGATTTGTGAAATATTATAGCTACGAGAAAGATTGAAGGATGTTCTAACCACGCCAGATTCTCAAAGTGAAAGTTTTTTCCTCCGATGGATTCGTGGTAAAAAATATTTACCTGTTTTACAACATGAAAATTTGTTTTGTGCATGGTTTAACTTTCCATTTTATACGGCGTGTGTAGCTCGAGATCACAATTTGGATAGGGCTGAAGACCTTCTAAGAAATGTGTGATTGATACATTATTTTTACTCTTCCTATTTATCTAAATCTCGACTTGCTCGACAATGTCTCATCTTGTTCATTACACAGCATCTGATATGGAGAGAAGAACATGATGTTGACAATGTTCTGGATACTGAAAGTCATGATTCCGTATCCTTCTTCAAACTATTTCCGTACTGGGTGTCAGGCACGAGCAAAGATGGCCACGTCGGTATGAATCTCGCAACGTTTAGCTACTTGGAGTGTGGCTTAAAATTGTTTTTAATCAGTGATCGAAGTGCCGCTTGGGTCTTGGGATATCCGGAAAGCCTTTCTCGTTGACGATGGGGAGAAGAAATTTGGTTTGTACACGACGCAACTCTTTGAAAAGGTGATGGCTCGAATTCGAGAGTTGAATGAGGAGAAGGCGTCGAGAGGGGAGTGGCCGTCCGCCCAAGTTTTCGGGGTCGTAAACTGGGAGGGCTACTCTTACAGTCAACTCCTAAATTGGAAAGGTAATTAACGTCCAATTTCATCACTGGTGGATATTTTTTCATGAAATTCTTTGAGTATTAATATTTTTCCCTCTGCATTATTTTGCAGCTCTTCAGAATTTGCTAACCATTGCGAGCAAATATGAAGCTCATTATCCTGAAATTCTATTCAAGGGCTTCTTCGTCAACTGTCCATCAATATTTCCCCTGTTGATGGGCTTTATCAAACAGATCCTTGCGCCAAAAACATTGGGAAAGCTTGAAATCTTCTCTGGCTCGAAGAACAACGAGTGGGAATCTGCCGTGAGAGAGCACGTGGATCCGGAGCAGATAGGAGTCCAATACGGAGGTCTTCGTACGGACAGGGTGATAAATAAATGAGACCAAACAGCTAATCCATGTATGTATTTATGTAGATAGTAATTTGTAAGTGTTATATTTTATCCCGTTTGTAATTCAATAAAGATCAGAATTATTTCATAAATTGTGATGATGAATATTGCAAATGGATTTTTATTTTGGTATCAAAATATATGCAACTCAAGGGAACTAGATATTTGCATGCGTAGACCAATTCATAACATTGTTTAATCGTTGAGGACACAAATTTGGCATAAAAATGAATCCAAAATTGAAATAAAGAGAAAAACGCTGATGTTAAATTGCGTGAACATCCTGTCGGCTGCTCAATTATTTTAATTACTGGTATCAGCCAAACAGCACATATTTTTTGGAAAAAGATTATTTCGTGACAAGTTTTATGAACGGGAATCAATTCGTCTGGAAGACCTCAGTCTGGCAACATAGACTGTGTTTTTGGGGCGTGAGCTGTCTGCTCATTGGGGGGATATCTCAGCTTGACCTCAGGAACTAATGATGGCGTTGGGGGGTGGCTCCGTCTTATTATGCCAAGTTCGAAGTAGGCGTAAATGCACTCGTGCGAAATGATACGCGAAAACTACTTGAAATTTGGGCTTACAAACTCAAAATGGAGCTTTATTTTACATAGGGCGATTACTTGTAGATTGACGTTATATCGACATTAAAATTGAGACCTTAGTTGTTTAAAAATATCGAGAAATATTGAAAAGCTGGCAAGTTAGTTTGAAGGTAAGTTTCCTCCTCCTCGGCTCGATTGGGTCTGAATTTCTTTCTCTTTTTCCCTGACTAAAAACTCCTCTTTTCTTGATGCCACATCATTCTTATATTTACATTCACTGGCTAAAATAGTGGCCCGAGTTTTACATACGACTTTGTCTTGACTTTTTGTTACACAAGCATTTTTCATCATACATACATACATAAGAGAATTTCATATTCATAAAACTGTTTCATAACGTGTCATTGCCCATGTTCAATATCTCAAATCATTAATTTACATACAGTTAACCTTAAACCTTAAATTATCAGTTAAAAATTATATCATTATTCAAAATAAGTAAAATTATTCACGGCGACAACAGACTGGGTCCCATTTTTTTGAGAGATAATTTCATATCGCATAATTTCCCTATTTGGATATGTCAAAACTATTTAAACGATCATGGTCCAATGAAATTGGGTCACTGTCGAATCACAAATTCATCGAACTATCTGTACGAGATATACCCGAATACATAATTAATTCGAAATGTCGCTCCCCACTCCAGAAGAGAAAATTGCAATTAAAAAAATAAGCAACAGATTTTTCCTCCACAACAACACAAGGTAATTTATCAACGCTTATTCAATAATTTTGTGTGTTCATTAAAAGTTCAGGGGTCAAGTGGAGGACGTTCTGACTCCAGAGTTGCAGAAAGATGACTGGTTCCTCCTTCGATGGCTTCGAGGTAAGTCCTGCTACACTTTCACGTGCTAAATTAGTGAACATAAAAGGTGATTACCTTGCAGCACGCGAACTCAACTTGGACAAGGCAGAAGCCATGCTGAGAAATGTGAAATTCTTTGCTTACAAAAGGCGATTATAGATGGTTTGCACAAATTCATAATTTAATTATGCGATGGTTTTTGGCTGGAGAGATTTCTAACTTTTTTTATGTGAAAGCCCATGTCTCGAACTATAGGTAAACATATTTGGCTTCCGGTGTTGTGCACTCTGGGGCATGAGGCAAGGTCAAATTTGCAGGGGTGTCCTTTTTTAGTTTTCCAAACCAGTGTTCTTATAAAATGGCGTCGAACAAAAGATTTTTTCTGAGGCCCTAGTGCAGAAATCGTCTTTGCGACTATTATCAATGGACTCAGCATGCTTTTCACTATATAAAACCACTTTTGTCTCATGCTTATCTTTTAAGTCCCTTTTGTAGTTTAACTTCATACTTGTCCTATGGAATGCTCTCACGAACGCAACTCCTCGACTTTTAAGGCCCCCACATTTTAGGACTTTGACACTAAAAATCCCAAACGTTGTTTATCTCCAAGGTACATATAGTATATTGCACTGTAAGTACTTTTGATAAAATTTTGATAAGTGGTTACACCCCAGGAAATGAGTTTCCATCAAACCCTATAAAATTTTTACAAAAGTTCTCCTCGAAATTGAAGCGGAACTTTAAAATTTTTTTAACTAATCAAAACGCAGTAATTTTATTATTTTGTCACTTGTACCTTGTAGGTAAAATAGTTCTGCAGCAGGGGACACAAAAAACTTAATAAAATTGTTTTTCAACAAAATTTGACTATTAATTTTCTAAATAAGTTCAAGAGTTTTTTAGGATTCCACGTCAACTGATTAGCTCGGGCCCTTCTCCAAAACTGTTTACTCAAAATCTTCACTGTTTTATTTAATATTACTTAGGACACTTAGAGCTTTGCCCTCAATCTTCATTTTACCCAGTCGGTCCGTTTTCAAGGTCAGAAGATCAATTTCTCGGTGCACGGTCCGATTGATCACTTTTCATGGAAAAGTATCAGCGATGCTGGAGGGCCCACATTATTTTATTCATTACGGATTCTTTCATTATTAGATACAATCATTATCTAGGCATAATAATAATAATTTTTCACCTCTGACCTCTTTGGTTATCATGCCACATGAATAATTAAGTTTGGAAAGTGGATTTTTGACACCTTCCAACTTTGGGGGCTCTGGAGGGGACATTTGTGAAGCTATCGCCTTAAAAATTTAGAGATATCTTTTTGAGAGTATTATCTTGCTTGTCTATCAAAATCAACTCAAAATTCGAATTTGCACCAGAGATATTCAAGCGCAAAGTCGTGAAAACCATGTCTAATCGCCTTTTGTATTACGACGCATAATCATTTTAGCCCTTTGGATTAGACTAATGCTGTGACTTTCTCTTTCATGCAGTCGATGAAGTGGCGAGCAGAAAATAAAGTGGATCTAACCCTCTCTCGCCCAGTGGACTCTTACGTTTCCTCCAACTACCCCTTCGACGTCTCCGGCAGGGATAAGGGAAGTCGGACAGTTTGGCGAAAACCCTTTTGGCGAAACAAATTCGCCAAATAATAATCCCGTTTGGCGAATAAAAAATTTCACCCACTTTACGGCATTTTTAGAACACGGGTTTCAAAGTACCTTTTGGCGAAAAAAATGTCACATTTGGCGAAAATGAAGATTTTATGAGTATGTCAAATCATAAAGATAATACTACAAGAATTTACATATTTTCTTTATTGTCATATCTTAATGTATTTGAATGAGCACGTAATCTAACTCACCGACAATGTGTACTGATGGTGTATGCTCTTCTCCCCAGGAAAACAAAAGAATGTTATCAAATTTTATTTGAGTTTGTAAAAAACCATGTCAAAAACTATAATCCTTCCCAAATTATATTAGACTTTGAGGCCGCTGCAATTGATACTCTGTGTTCCTTAAAACTTCGATTTACGGATGTAGATAATAAGTTCCAGAAAAGTATTAGGGTTCATAAACCATCCATCTGTAAATTTATGTATTGTTTACAGCGCAAGCAAAATGCTATTGAGAATATTCTTTATAAATTTGATAACGATACAGTCCTACCAAAGTTACAAAGGAAAAAATACAGGAGATTGGAACACTTTTTTCACGAAGTAATGAATAAGTATAGGACTCGAGCTAATCATGAAAAATTTATAACTTGGTTATCCAAACTTGCCAGAAGCTCTCCAGACTATAAGTCCTAATTTTCTGGAATTTGAATTATCTAAAAGTTTATATTTCCAATTGTGTTAATTTTAATGCGTTTGACATAAATAAATGCGAAATTTAGATTTCGCCAAATGTGTTTTTATAAGTTTTTAATTTTCGCCATATGTGACAAAAATTTCGTCATTCGGGACTTTCATCATAATTTTTTTACCACTTTGGCGAAAATTTATTTTCGCCAAATCGGCTCTCGCCAAACTGTCTGTCAATCGTTCCTGGTCGTGTTCCTCATGGAACAACAATGGAACACGTGTTCCTGGTCGTGTTCCTCATGGAACAACAATGGAACACGTGTTCCTGGTCGTGTTCCTCATGGAACAACAATGGAACACGTGTTCCTGGTCGTGTTCCTCATGGAACAACAATGGAACACGTGTTCCTGGCCCGATCAACAAAAGCTATCACTTTTACGCAAAAGTCATACAGTTAAATTGCAGCAACTGATGGCCGGCAAAAATCCGTGAAAAGATACTAGATATTTAACGTAAAATAAACTGTCAATATTGCATAGAATTGACAGTCATATTCATGCAATTTAGCCTCAAGAATATTGCGTAGAAATAACCGTCAAATTAATGCAATTTAGAGCGTAGAATATTGCGCAAAAGAAACGAATAATTTGATGCAAAACTTGCAGTTAAACTCCATGCAATTACTGCAGTCAAATAACACGAATTATTAATTTTTATCAAAATCATTTATTCAATAACAAAAATTATATTGTTACATTATACAAGGGAATGCAAATGTTTTCATCTATTTTATCCGACGGGAGTAACCAACATTTCTTATCAATATCATTAATACCTATTATGGTTACGCTATTTGATAATTTGCTAACTTTAATTATTCCTAAAATTTTACTTTCACACGGACAAGTGAACAAGTTGTCCGAGTGTTTGAATTTTCTACAATTTATATGTTTTTTATCTTTACTTATACTACTTATAACAACTACTTTCCCATCCTTTAATATAAAACAATGATCCTTTCCGTTCGATTTTATAATACAGTGTCTATTTAAATTCACAGGGGACTGGTACTTATGATTTTCTCTCAGCAGTGCGATTCACAGTTTGCTCAAAAGGTTTATAGTGAGCTCGTAGCGAGCGCTTTATTACTTGCATATTATTTTCGAAATCGAAAGCACTAAAAGAATCTAACGGGCCATGCTTTAAAGCGTCATCACTAATATGTATAAGAGAATGCATATTATATGATAAGAACTCTTCTTCATATAAATTGGGAACAATTTTAACAAACTTCAATAAAAGCTGTCATGCATAATCGTTCCAATTATTTGCTTGCGCCTTGGTAGTTATAAGAATCGTGACTGCTACGCAAAGATTTAAAAAATGTGTATACTTTTTCGGCGACAATAATCCTTTTAAAGCGACGGGTCCTGTATAAAGAAGAAAAGTTCTAAACTCTGTCGCTTTCCACATATCTAACTCTTTTGCTGACCTCGGCTTACGACAAAATTCTTTAGGGCAACTATGCGAAAATAATACTAATTTACTTGATAAAGTTGAAATATCACGAGAAGATAATTTAAATGGCAATGGACCTTTTACCCAACTTCTTAATAGTTTTCTAACCACACCTAAGCAAATGAGGTGCATGTAGTCAAGAGGAACCGAAGAAATCATCAAAATTTTAAGCTCCGTAAACGGGGAAATGCCTACATGGTGGTGTTTATCTTTTTGAACATAAAAATCTTGATCTGTCCTAAGTGGACTATCGAATGTTCTGAAAATTACACGTCCCTTCCAGAAACCTGGATCTATACATTTCTCGCATCCATTGTATGCATTATGACTTTTACATTGCTTTAAAAAACTCCTGGCTGGCGCATCAGCTATTATTTTTGAAACCTTACAAAATATTTTCAAATTATTGTAACTAATCCCAACTCGCAAACTTTTTAACTCTGCTATCAAATCCATCAAGTATTCGTCAATACTTTCTGGTTTTGTCTTGCCATAAAATAAACCCACGACAAATACGCCGTACGTACTTTCTTCACACTTTGCTTGAATTGGCCAAAACTGGTTACTGTTACTCTTAGAAATGGGCAATCCATCAAAACTAAATATAAGGTTTAATTTAATTTCGCTTCCAGAAGCAAGAATACAATTGGAATCTATTTGCCGTTTTATATTTTGAATAACATCAAAGTGTGCATATTGACCCTGACCGATAGTTTTCATAGAGTATTTAATTGAGTTTTTAAGCAATGTCCTACTATCCAATGGAAGAAATCTAAATTCTTGATAAAAGTTAAATATGCGTAGAAGATCGTTTAAAGCTACTCCCGTTATGTTATGTCGAAGCGACCAGTCCATCAAGTCCCGTGTTAAATCTAAAATATTCCTATTATTTTCTACTACACCATTGTCGCTTAGTGAATCGGAAACTAATGGCTCGTCACTATTATGGATAACATTACTGCTTCTATCATTATTGCTAATATTACTACCTGAATCGCTATCCTCAACGACAGAATCACATATATCTAAATTTACAAGATTATTACTAATAGCAGGTATGTTTTTTGCACGAGTGAGATTCTCTCTAACCCGTTTTGCAATTATTCGCCTAATGTTTCTCGGTGATTTTCCATCTCGATCCATGATTATGATGCAATTCCCGAGGGAGCGTCGTCGTTGCACCTACTTTTTGAAGAACGAAACCAATTCATTGCTGCAGTTTGAATTATATCATCGGTGGGAATACGGCCGCTGGGATTTTTGGGATCGGGAACGGACTCAACTGTAAAGACGTTTCGCACGGTTTCTGAAATTTGCAATCCAATTAAACATTAAATAGAGACCAACAATTAGAAAATTTTGTTCATTTTAGAATATATTTTAGCACCTTTTACGACTTCCAATAGTTTTAGGTTTTTCATCGATGTCTTGTTTCCTTTACCCGTAAAATTAATTCGCCTGCCAAATTCATTCGTAAATAATTTTTTCAAGATTTTTCTAGTGCTCGCCTCGATCTGTGTCGCAGTTGAAAAAGAAAAAACATTAAAGTTTAATTATGCATGTAAAATATCTCGATTAAATCGTACCAGTAATTCGCGATTTGAATCCACCTCGAGCCAAGATTCAAACTCCGCCAGTGCTACCTCGTTGTCGAGGGGTAATTTTGGAATGGCACTGAGATTGGGAGCCTTCCTACCATCCGGCCTTTGTTTCACATTAATCAGTAAAGCCTTAATGTCTTTAATGTCTTCAGCCTGCTTTTCCAACAAAGTTAGCACACTTTGCGTTGTCCCTGCAACGTGATTACAAAGCGTTAACATAATACATCAATTTTAATAAAATTATTTTGCTTGTACAAACTTGAAATCAACAGCCGTAAATCATTTAACTCCTACGAATTTACAACAACAAAAGAGGTGTCTCCAGTTTCAACTTGATTTCCTACTTGTAGATTGCTTTGCTCTTCAGTTTCGGGAATTATTTCAGGAATGCTCAATGGTTGGTCTAAAAAGCATCACCATAACGATTAGTATAAAATATTTGTGGCAGTATGATAAGCCTACCCAGCTCCAAATTATCCAGAAGTGAGCCAGACGGAGGACTGTTTTTGTTCGCGTCGCTATCCTCCTCATCGGATGAAGACGTTACATCCCCTCGTGTGCTGCTGGGCTGAATATCGGGAATTATCTTCTTGCTCCTTAATCTGCTTTCTGGTTCTGTTTCACTTTCCAAGTTGGAAGTGTCCTCGGCTACTTGAAGTTTTTTTGTCGCAACTTCATAATCATCTAAAATAATGATATTTGTTAGTAAATGTAAAATAATTGGAATGACTTCTCATAATTTGAATTAAATAGCTATTTACCGTAATTCCCAATAATCCTGGCGTAGCTAACTCTTCCCCACTTGACATCAGGAATGGCAGTGCCCTTTTTTATCAAATATCTAATACTTGGCCCAGAGTTTGGTGGCCAGAGACAAACTTTCTCTGCGGGGATAACCCAGTGACTTGGAACAAGCTCCACAGGCACTGAATTGTATTTATCAGGGGGGAATTCAATTATGTAATATTTTTTTGCCGACATTGAGACAACAGATAAATTAACAGGGAATTAAATTAACAGGGAATTTACGAGACTGCGAGGGTGGGAGAGAAAAGGAAATACCACGCTTCTCTTAGATTCAAACTCACGCGCGTTGCCTGTCTCTTCGCACCCACCATTCATTGCGTATAAATTGCATGATTTTAACGCCTCATGTAATGTGGGTATTGACGAGATATTGGTGCGGTATTTTTACGCAATATCTCAGCACGTTTGGGTGCAATAATTTTTCAACCATAGGTTACAGTTTTTTAATGCAAATTTAGCGTGTCTCACGGTGCACACCAAACTTAGCACAAAATTTATGCAATAATCACGCCTTTTTTTGTTTGTTAAAAATTTTCACCATGGATGCGTTACTTTGACGCAAAAGTAAAAATTTTTGTTGATCGGGGCTCGTGTTCCTCATGGAACAACAATGGAACACGTGTTCCTGGTCGTGTTCCTCATGGAACAACAATGGAACACGTGTTCCTGGTCGTGTTCCTCATGGAACAACAATGGAACACGTGTTCCTGGTCGTGTTCCTCATGGAACAACAATGGAACACGTGTTCCTGGCCCGATCAACATTTGTTGGGGGTCTACAGAAACCCAACATTTGTTGGGGGTCTATAGGACCCCAACATTTGTTGGGGGTCTACAGAAACCCAACATTTGTTGGGGGTCTATAGGACCCCAACATTTGTTGGGGGTCTACAGAAACCCAACATTTGTTGGGGGTCTATAGGACCCCAACATTTGTTGGGGGTCTACAGAAACCCAACATTTGTTGGGGGTCTATAGGACCCCAACATTTGTTGGGGGTCTACAGAAACCCAACATTTGTTGGGGGTCTATAGGACCCCAACATTTGTTGGGGGTCTACAGAAACCCAACATTTGTTGGGGGTCTATAGGACCCCAACATTTGTTGGGGGTCTACACGAACCCAACATTTGTTGGGGGTCTATAGGACCCAACATTTGTTGGGGTCTACAGAAACCCAACATTTGTTGGGGTCTATAGGACCCCAACATTTGTTGGGGGTCTACAGAAACCCAACATTTGTTGGGGGTCTATAGGACCCCAACATTTGTTGGGGGTCTACAGAAACCCAACATTTGTTGGGGGTCTATAGGACCCCAACATTTGTTGGGGGTCTACAGAAACCCAACATTTGTTGGGGTCTACAGGACCCCAACATTTGTTGGGGTCTACAGAAACCCAACATTTGTTGGGGGTCTATAGGACCCCAACATTTGTTGGGGGTCTACAGAAACCCAACATTTGTTGGGGGTCTATAGGACCCCAACATTTGTTGGGGGTCTACAGAAACCCAACATTTGTTGGGGGTCTATAGGACCCCAACATTTGTTGGGGGTCTACAGAAACCCAACATTTGTTGGGGGTCTATAGGACCCCAACATTTGTTGGGGGTCTACAGAAACCCAACATTTGTTGGGGGTCTATAGGACCCCAACATTTGTTGGGGGTCTACAGAAACCCAACATTTGTTGGGGGTCTATAGGACCCCAACATTTGTTGGGGGTCTATCAGACCCCAACATTTGTTGGGGGTCTATAGGACCCCAACATTTGTTGGGGGTCTACAGAAACCCAACATTTGTTGGGGGTCTATAGGACCCCAACATTTGTTGGGGGTCTACAGAAACCCAACATTTGTTGGGGGTCTATAGGACCCCAACATTTGTTGGGGGTCTACAGAAACCCAACATTTGTTGGGGGTCTATAGGACCCCAACATTTGTTGGGGGTCTACAGAAACCCAACATTTGTTGGGGGTCTATAGGACCCCAACATTTGTTGGGGGTCTACAGAAACCCAACATTTGTTGGGGGTCTATAGGACCCAACATTTGTTGGGGGTCTACAGAAACCCAACATTTGTTGGGGGTCTATAGGACCCCAACATTTGTTGGGGGTCTACAGAAACCCAACATTTGTTGGGGGTCTATAGGACCCCAACATTTGTTGGGGGTCTACAGAAACCCAACATTTGTTGGGGGTCTATAGGACCCCAACATTTGTTGGGGGTCTACAGAAACCCAACATTTGTTGGGGGTCTATAGGACCCCAACATTTGTTGGGGGTCTACAGAAACCCAACATTTGTTGGGGGTCTATAGGACCCCAACATTTGTTGGGGGTCTACAGAAACCCAACATTTGTTGGGGGTCTATAGGACCCCAACATTTGTTGGGGGTCTACAGAAACCCAACATTTGTTGGGGGTCTATAGGACCCCAACATTTGTTGGGGGTCTACAGAAACCCAACATTTGTTGGGGGTCTATAGGACCCCAACATTTGTTGGGGTCTACAGAAACCCAACATTTGTTGGGGGTCTATAGGACCCCAACATTTGTTGGGGGTCTACAGAAACCCAACATTTGTTGGGGGTCTATAGGACCCCAACATTTGTTGGGGGTCTACAGAAACCCAACATTTGTTGGGGGTCTATAGGACCCCAACATTTGTTGGGGTCTACAGAAACCCAACATTTGTTGGGGGTCTATAGGACCCCAACATTTGTTGGGGGTCTACAGAAACCCAACATTTGTTGGGGGTCTATAGGACCCCAACATTTGTTGGGGGTCTACAGAAACCCAACATTTGTTGGGGGTCTATAGGACCCCAACATTTGTTGGGGGTCTACAGAAACCCAACATTTGTTGGGGGTCTATAGGACCCCAACATTTGTTGGGGGTCTACAGAAACCCAACATTTGTTGGGGGTCTATAGGACCCCAACATTTGTTGGGGGTCTACAGAAACCCAACATTTGTTGGGGGTCTATAGGACCCCAACATTTGTTGGGGGTCTACAGAAACCCAACATTTGTTGGGGGTCTATAGGACCCAACATTTGTTGGGGGTCTACAGAAACCCAACATTTGTTGGGGGTCTATAGGACCCCAACATTTGTTGGGTCTACAGAACCCACATTTGTTGGGGGTCTATAGGACCCCAACATTTGTTGGGGTCTACAGAAACCCAACATTTGTTGGGGGTCTATAGGACCCACATTTGTTGGGGGTCTACAGAAACCCAACATTTGTTGGGGTCTATAGGACCCCAACATTTGTTGGGGGTCTACAGAAACCCAACATTTGTTGGGGGTCTATAGGACCCCAACATTTGTTGGGGGTCTACAGAAACCCAACATTTGTTGGGGGTCTATAGGACCCCAACATTTGTTGGGGTCTACAGAAACCCAACATTTGTTGGGGGTCTATAGGACCCCAACATTTGTTGGGGTCTACAGAAACCCAACATTTGTTGGGGGGTCTATAGGACCCCAACATTTGTTGGGGGTCTACAGAAACCCAACATTTGTTGGGGGTCTATAGACCCCAACATTTGTTGGGGGTCTACAGAAACCCAACATTTGTTGGGGTCTATAGGACCCCAACATTTGTTGGGGGTCTACAGAAACCCAACATTTGTTGGGGGTCTATAGGACCCCAACATTTGTTGGGGGTCTACAGAAAACCCAACATTTGTTGGGGGTCTATAGGACCCCAACATTTGTTGGGGTCTACAGAAACCCAACATTTGTTGGGGGTCTATAGGACCCCAACATTTGTTGGGGGTCTACAGAAACCCAAATTTGTTGGGGGTCTATAGGACCCCAACATTTGTTGGGGGTCTACAGAAAACCCAACATTTGTTTGGGGGTCTATAGGACCCAACATTTGTTGGGGGTCTACAGAACCCAACATTTGTTGGGGGTCTATAGGACCCCCAACATTTGTTGGGGGTCTACAGAAACCCAACATTTGTTGTTATAACCAACATTTGTTGGGGTCTAAAAAATTGGGGTCTATAGGACCCCAACATTTGTTGGGGGTCTACAGAAACCCAACATTTGTTGGGGGTCTATAGGACCCCAACATTTTTGGGGTTTTTTTGGGTTTAAAATTTGTTGGGGTCTACAGAAACCCAACATTTGTTGGGGGTCTATAGGACCCCAACATTTGTTGGGGGTCTACAGAAACCCAACATTTGTTGGGGTCTATAGGACCCCACATTTGTTGGGGGTCTACAGAAACCCAACATTTGTTGGGGGTCTATAGGACCCCAACATTTGTTGGGGGTCTACAGAAACCCAACATTTGTTGGGGGTCTATAGGACCCCAACATTTGTTGGGGTCTACAGAAACCCAACATTTGTTGGGGGTCTATAGGACCCCAACATTTGTTGGGGGTCTACAGAACCCAACATTTGTTGGGGGTCTATAGGACCCCAACATTTGTTGGGGGTCTACAGAAACCCAACATTTGTTGGGGGTCTATAGGACCCCAACATTTGTTGGGGGTCTACAGGAACCCAACATTTGTTGGGGGTCTATAGGACCCCAACATTTGTTGGGGTCTACAGAAACCCAACATTTGTTGGGGTCTATAGACCCCAACATTTGTTGGGGGTCTACAGACCCAACATTTGTTGGGGGTCTATAGGACCCCAACATTTGTTGGGGGTCTACAGAACCCAACATTTGTTGGGGGTCTATAGGACCCCAACATTTGTTGGGGGTCTACAGAACCCAACATTTGTTGGGGTCTATAGGACCCCAACATTTGTTGGGGGTCTACAGAAACCCAACATTTGTTGGGGGTCTATAGGACCCCAACATTTGTTGGGGTCTACAGAACCCAACATTTGTTGGGGTCTATAGGACCCCAACATTGTTGGGGGTCTACAGAAACCCAACATTTGTTGGGGGTCTATAGGACCCCAACATTTGTTGGGGGTCTACAGAACCCAACATTTGTTGGGGTCTATAGGACCCCAAACATTTGTTGGGGGTCTACAGAACCCAACATTTGTTGGGGGTCTATAGGACCCCAACATTTGTTGGGGGTCTACAG